AAGAGTACCACTTTATTTAAAACAAGTGATATGAGTTAAATTAGACAATTAATTGACTTGATGTTAATACTTACAAATTATACAAAGTGATGATATTTAAAACTAATTGATTATTGGTGCAATGTTGGTATAATCTTAACATTTCGCCATTGGGGCATTTATTAAGTTGTATTGACTCTATTTTAACACTTGACTATTAGTTTCATATAAAAGGAATTTTATATTTTTTTTATTAAAGTTAATAAGTATAATTAGTTTATCATTTAACGGGCCTAATCTTAATATTTACTATAAACAATAAGAAATCATATATTTAAAAGTTATAAGCTAATTGATTCTATAATATTAATCTACTTTTAATTTATATCTCAGCTTATAATTAGTAGTAGAAAAACCTTTAATTAGAAAAACAACTCAAAACCAAATGGAAAGAGGCAGGTTGAATGCGAACCAAAATGAAAACGAATGGCTGCCCAACCAGCTTATGTGCGTTCTTTCTTTCTTTTTCCCTTTCTTTTCCTTCTTGAAATGACAAAAGCCCATCCTTTCTTTCTTCTAGATTGTGGTCTCTTCCTACTCAAACAAGTTTATATTAATTTTAATTAAGGGGGAAAAATAACTTCATAATTTGATCGTTTTGCATTTTGTAAAAGGTCATTAAGTTGCAAGTGAGGTCATTTCCGGTTATGGCATTAGGTAGTTACAGGTTTCTAGTCATTTTGGGTTTTTTGTATTTTTCAGGCCTGAGTTGTTTTGTGCTCAGATAATTTTGGATACATGTCATTTCAGGTTTGGGTATCTTCGGGTTGTTGACTTTTGGAGTCAACTTGGGTGGTATTGCATTGGGATAATAGCATAGCATATGGATATTTTAATGCCTTTGCATGCCTTTGAGAGCTTAGATGGAGCGAGAAGGTGATCTAGGAAGATAAAGAGAGTAGAGTGGAGATTATTTTATGTCTTAGTTTTTTAGCTTAATGACAGGATAAGGATAATTTTCCTAGTTATCTTGTTTGGTGAGAGAGGAAAGAAGGAAGAGTGTAAGGTAATTGTTAAATAAATTTATATTTGATGCACTGTTTGTGTATACATCCTATACTATCAGTGAACCACATGTCATCATCTTGTTAAGAAATAAAAATTTAAAATTAAAGATCCTTAAAATGCAAATAACAATAATTTCAGTGATCTTCTATTTTCTTTGCATTTGTTTTAACCCAACAATCAATATTTACTAACCCTCACCACCTCTTGGGAATTTGCAATTGCCGCTTCAATGTGCCTCCAATTCAAGTTTCATGTGTTGCGGGGAGTGTGAGATAATTATATCTAAATATGACCCTTAGGTTTGAGACTTGAGAAGGTTTTGAACAAGTCTTAAACTCCTGATGGGGTTAGGTTGCTTATAGCATGTGAGAGCATCCAAAGGGATAAAAGATTGTTAGCAAAATTGAAAGTTTTGGAGCTGTTTATTGAAATTTTAGGTTTACCTTATGGGTTTTTTTCCCTCTTCTTTTTTTTATATATATATATATATATATCAAGCCTTAGGGTTGCTGCTCATTATATTAGAGATTTGGAGTTTTTGATTACTTTCAAGAATGAGATTTTAAGTTTGCTTGTACATGTGCCTATCTTATCTTCTATATATGTACATGAGAAAATGGGTTTTCACTGAAGGGAATTTAGTCTCAAAGTAGACCATTTTTGGAGTGGAGGAAGTAAATTAATTTTTTCGGATTAGTAAGTGATTTTTTTTTAATGTGGTGGAAAGTGAAAGAGGCGATAAAAAGTAATTATGCCAAATGTGTAATTAACCCAAGCTAGAACAATTGAAAAAGGTTTGGTGGCTAATCTAGGACCATTTGAGGGAAAAAATTGTGTAGGATGGGGATTAAGGTTGGATGAAGAGCATCAAGTTTGGAAAGTTTGTCATTCAAGTTGTGCAAGCAAAGTGGGCAGTTGTCTAGGTTAACTTAGAAATATAGCTTCACATCTAATAGCATAGTAGCTAAGAAATGTCTATAAAGATAGTTTTCTCAACTCTCAGAATTAAGGGAAAATTACTATGTATGTTTTTACCCATTTTAGTTCCTTGTGGTTTAAAAATAGTGGAACTAACCTAATGAGGTTTGTTTCTTTACTTCTAGAGGGTTTTTCTTTCAGATCTCTTTTTCCTAGAAATAAGAATGACAAAACTATCCTTATGGTCAACCTTCAAAAATGTGGAAAAATTATGTAGATAACCATCAAGTTGGATTTCAGATTTTCATACAATTATTTCACCTTTTATATGAAAACAAATGTTAAAGAATTTAAAATGTTAAAATATGTAGATGGGGGCAGTTCAGCCACTTTGTCAAAAAATTAAATAGCAGAATTCTTTTGATTATCAATTTAAACCACATGGTCTTATGTTTGCCACTTTGGAAACCACATGAAAATAAAATTATGTTCTAACCACTTTGAGGTAAGATGTAATTTTTTCATCGAATCACATGAAGCATCTGTTCTAGGTTCAATAAAGATGGACTCCAAACAAAAACCTATAAAGATTTGTGCACCAACTGTTGGACATTAAACAAGGGTGTCATAATAATAAAAAGAAAAATGAAAATAAGTCTTAAACACCATCATCTCACCTTTGCCAAACGATATACTATAAATTAATTAAAATACCCCTACCTCATAATATCATTGATAGATAAAAATAAATTCTGCAATCCATTTTACTTAAAGATACGTATATTAAGAGTCAGTATCAATTGCTAATTGGCTATCAAAGCTCCCAACTTCTATTCTCGTGATTGTCCAAATTGAGCCTTTAGAATTATTACTAGCCTGACAAGTCTGCTAAATGTTTGTGGAGATGTTTACAGACTTCTCATCATGAGGGTCTATAGCTTTTCTCAAGCTTAATTTTATTATTTCATATGATTTCATGCATAAAATATTCTTTTGCCTAGTTAAATAGATCTCAAATATTTTGTCATGCAGCCAGGGAATTGAGAAGATAGCCTGGGATGCTTCTGGAGAGCGATTAGCAGTATCGTATAAAGGAGGGGATGACATTTACAAAGGTCTCATTGCATTATATGACACAAGGAGGAATCCCTTGATTTCTGCATCACTAATGTGAGCTCCTGCTTATCTTACCACATGCTTGTCATTTTGGATAGAAAAAATGTTACTGCACACAGCTTTCATGGAGCACTCCATAGTTCATTGAATGCCAAGTCAAATGATCTAAATGAGATCATCATCTTCTCCATTTTTTTTGACTGGGGGGATGGGTGTTCTGAATATATGTAACAGCTAATTTATATATTTGTTTCTGTAATGTGAATTCAGTGGTTTTATCAGAGGGCCTGGCAGCAATCCAAAGCCAATTGCGTTTTCCTTTCATGACAAGTTTAAACAGGGACCATTGCTTTCTGTGGTAAACCCTCATCATTCCTCTTACATGTTGATTTTGACTGTTAGGTCAATGGATGAGCGCTTGATGGTTTTTTTTAGCACTCTTTATATATGTCGTGATTTGAATCTGTGTACATGAGTTTCTGGACCTAACTAGTATCTTATGATGTTTTTAAATTCTGGTAAAAAATGGTATGGATTTTAAATCTCAGTGGCAACTGGCAACTAGCAGCAATTCATGTTTCCAACCATCTATTCAGATGTGTTTTTTTCTTATGCAGTGCTGGAGCTGTGGATTCTGCTGTACCTACCCTCTCATATTTCGTTCCTAAGATTTTCCCTGGTGAAGGTATTTTCTATTCTACTAGGTTCCTTGGCTGCACATTAAATTTTAATGCGTGCCCAACGTAACAAGTATAAGCTGCCCTCCCTCAGTCTTCTTTTTCCGTGCTAAAACTAAGCAATATTTGCATTTGTAATTGTAAGCTTTATTTTCCCGCATTGTTAGCTGTGGAGAAATTTTTGAAGCTACTGACTGGAAGTTCTTGTGTTATCGGAAAAGATGTTGATAATTATTTAATTACACGTCCAACTAATTCGTGATTGTTGGCCCCAAATAAGTGTATCCTGTTTAGATATGGAGATAGTAGGGGCACTAATGGAGATTAAAGAATGAAACTTCAATTATTAGAAGCTGTCATTTTCTGTCATTTGTTCCCAAGACATATTTTTGATATAGTTTTCTATTTACAGTGTCCTATCTCTTGCAGGCTTTCTGAGGCAACCTGTGTATGGCTTATTTTGCAAAGGGTACAGACAGGAGAGTTAGATCTGCGGAAACACAATGAAATTGAGGGAATTTATAGCTTCCATTGTTTTGCTTCAAAATGCTGTTCCTTTTACTGTTTGGCAGTGCCTGAGTGTAGAAGTTATTGTTGTAACTTGACAGCACTGGTGACTTCAGTTTTAGTGATGAATGATCACTTCCATCACATGCTTTCCCTCTATACTCTTGTAGGGTTTAGGGTTTAAAAATGGAAAGATTGGGAGAGGGGAAATGTGGGAAGAGAGAAAACATGTCTTTTTCCTTCCGTTGATGTGCTTGGTAGAATAGGTGGAAAATTGGGTAGAAAAATATGTATTTTTGTTATCTATTTCTTGGTAGAGTTGAAAAACATACAAGGAAAGAAAATGAAAGTTACATTATTTTTCCATTACCCTTTTTGTAAGTGGAAATAAAAAGACAAAATTCAAGAAAGGATGGAAAGTTTTATAAATTGGTATCACTTAATTCACACATTTCATTCTCTCTTTTCTAATCTTTTCAATTTTGAAATGATTTGGCTTAGGCTACCAATCAATAATGAAAATAATTTTTTTATTTTTTGCACATAGTTATGTTTCTCATGCAAAACCTGGACAATCGATTTCATAAATTGAAGGATAGGTGTAAGCAGGCAGCTGAGCCCTGAATATAATTTGGTAAACCCGTGCAGCACCAACCAAGCATACCTAACAGGGAACCGGGTTAGGTAGGAGGAAACAACCTTTTTTTCCAGCATAAAAGGAGCCCCCTACGCCGTCACTGTCTTCATTGTCATCAGCGTAGACAAAGAGGAGAGGAAATGGAGGAAGCCCAAAAACAAAAGATGAAGATATTATGCCTTCATGGGTTTAGAACCAGTGGGAGTTTCCTGCACAAGCAAATCAGCAAGTGGGATCCTTCTGTTTTCCATCACTTTGACATGGTATGTTTGCTTAATATTTCATAATTAATATTCCAAGTATTTGACCCTAATCAGTCAATAAAATAATTGTTTTAGTTAAATGGGGTACCCAAGTAGTAATATTTCAACATAGTGCCATAAATGAAGAGTGTTCTAGATCCAGTAGACTCTGGAAAATCATAATAATAAACAAAACTGCAATACATGTATACACAGGATTTTCCGGACGGACTATTTCCAGCTGGAGGCAAATCTGACATCGAAGGCATATTCCCTCCTCCGTACTTTGAGTGGTTCCAGTTCAACAAGGATTTCACGGAGTACACAAACCTGGAGGAATGCGTCTCTCACTTGTGTGAATACATCACCACCAAGGGACCTTTTCATGGATTGCTTGGCTTCTCACAAGTAGGTTTTGTTTTAATGCATCACCACTTCTTCCCACAATAAGTTCCTTCCAGATTGCTTTCTCTTCTTATTTCCTCTTGTTCTTGGCTGTAGGGTGCAACCCTTTGTGCTCTTCTGTTAGGCTACCAGGCACAGGTAATATAAGTTGTAAGAATTGATGCATCTGAATTAGGAGGTAGGTCTTCTTCTCTCTGCATGTTGGGTGATATTCTAGAGTTATGGCAACGCACGCAGGGGAAGGTGTTGAAGGAGCATCCACCCTTCAAATTTTTTGTTTCAATATCCGGATCAAAATTCAGAGAGCCAAGCATATGCGAGGTCGCCTACAAAGACGCAATCAAGGTCAAATCTGTGCACTTCATAGGAGCTAAGGACTGGTTAAAGTTGCCTTCGGAGGAGCTGGCCACCGCCTTTGACAGTCCTCTCATCATAAGGCACCCCCAAGGCCACACTGTCCCAAGGCTAGGTAAGCCAATAATGCTATTTGTTGCCTTATTATTATTATTATAATTGAGTTTGAGAATATTTTATGAAATAGATATACAATAATAATTATATTATTATATTTAATTATTGATGTATATTTGTGATAGTACTTTTATATAAAAACACACCTATAAACGGTTAGGTGATAAAATAAGACTTTAAATGAAATCTTCAAGCTCATGGTAGAAGAGAAAGAGAAAGGTAGAATATAGGAAAAAAGAGAGTAACAGAGCAATACGTTGGCCGAATAAAAAACCCTCAATTAAGCCCAAAGCAAGCTTAAGCCCAAAAGCCTTAAAATGTGAGAGTGCCAAGTGTCAAGGCAAGAGACCCACCAAGTGTTTCTTTTAAGAATAGTTATAGATTATAGATTGGGATTTTTATTCTCCTGATTTCTCACCTTGTTGTCCCTATCATTCTAAGAAGTATGAGACAGAAACGTGGTCGTTTTGGACTTATTGTCTTAAACAAACAATAAATGTGGGTGTGGGTGTATTGGGTGTATTTAAATTATTGTGACATATAATTCATTAAATATTGTTGAATATTCTTTAGGGACCATGGCTTTTCTCACCAAATTGAGAATTGGATGGCTTGAATTAACAAAATAAAAGTTAAATGGATAAAAGTAATAAATTGAAATTGATCAATAGCCAAAGATGTACATTAATATCCCAATAAGTAAACAAACTAATTAAGATAGAATGTAGCAGTAGAAATTGTACAAAAAAGAAGTAAGTAATGCAGCTAGTTGTGATTTCATGTAATCTTACATTAATTGATTCACTTGTCTTCAGATGAGGCATCCACTGAGCAATTGCGCAATTTTACTGCAAAGATCCTCCTCCAGAGCAATGGTAGCATCTCCAATAATGAACATGAGCTGAAAAATGGAGAAACCAACAAGGACGATGAAGAGGAAAGGCCAAAAGAGTTAAACTCTAACAACATCAACAACCAAAGGGATGCCTCGGACATTGCTAGAAACCACAAGGAATTAATGGTTGGAGAGGCAATCCAGGCACAACATTAAAATGGGTGAGGTAGAATCATGACCTTGGGAAAAGAATATTTGGCAATACATATATATATATATATATATATATATATATATATACATATTGTTGCATTATGTAACTTTTCCCAAAGCTGTTTTCAAATGCAATTAGGGAAATATTCGTGTCTAATAAATTTAATTAAATTAACTTATTATCTTTAATGGCATTAAAGTATTTGATTTATTGGTTGGTATATGATTTCATGTGTAGAGAACAGGGTTTGAATTCCTATTTTCCTAATTTCTTGTAAAAAACTTATTATCGTTAATGCATTTTCTTATAATTTTAAATATATTGACTGTGTATAGCATTTGTACAATACCAATTAATCATGAATATCCCTTTATTAATGAGTAAAGATAAAAAATTGAAACATCTGAACATTTGGTTCATTAGTTGGTGTATGATCTTCCTTTCAAAAGGATTAGGGTTCGAATATTCCTTCCCTTAAATATATAAAAAAGATAAAAAGTTGAAAATTTTTGGCATAATACCTAAAAAGCCACTAATCTATTTAGAAAAAATTTAATTAAATCTTTATTATTTTTATTACGTTATACTTTTATTTTAGATAAAATAGGTCCTTATGACTAACAGTTAATTAATTTTTATTAATCAAAATGTCACTTGTTATTTTATACCACGTGGTGTTTACATAATATACTGATATGTCATAATAGATGATGATAAGATATGTCGATGTGGCATGATGACATGGCGGTGTAACATTTTTCATCCTCTATATCAATGCCACGTCAGGACCACACAACATAAACAAGATAAATGGTATTTTAACTAATGACTATTAATCAACTATTAGTTGTAATTGATTCAAAATAAAAGTACATGAACTTAGTTGAAAGCAACAAAAAAATAAAAATTTATTTGAATTTTCTTAAATAATTTAAGAATTTTCAAAATCAATATTTGTATGAGGGTTTCTTTTATATCTAATTAAACAATTAAAAGGATATTACTTGAAAAAGAACATAGGCTTAGATTTTTTTTTATAAATCTACGTAGGATTAGATTTGAGAATACATTTAACCTCTGTCAAAGGATATTTTCAACTACACCAATTAATCATGGTACGTTGGTGGCTTTATTGTTAAGAATTGAAGAACAATGGCTTGATTTTAAAGGTTGCCCAATTATGGGTCGCCCAAAGGAAAAATGCTGTATGTTGCTTCTCTTAACTAACAATAAGAAATCATAACTCATTCTTGGCATCCAAAGATTAATGGAATCTTCCTTTTCATTCCAATTTTAATATTTGCTGCAATAAAGTTTGCCAATTTGTCCAAATTCATTGGCATATTTGACTCAATCAATTTGAAAGTTTTTATGACCGTGATTAAATAGTTTTTGTAAAAAATTGAAAAACAAAATCTTATCAATTAATTTTTTTCAAGCTAAAAAATTAATCCATATATATAATTGATGAAAGGACTAATTGCATGGTCAGGTTGTACGCTTAAAGGTTAGGTTTAACTGGCCACATTAATTTCTCTTAACATTTGGGTGATCATGACACATTACTTGATGTTAAGCTTTATCTATAAATGCAAATTATTCAATGCTGAATTGATGATGAATGTAAATGAGTTTGATTTATTAAATCCTATTTGACTTAGAATTATAATTCAAATTTATTATCAACATGTTAATAACCTAACAGTTACACACATTAAGATTGGACTTAATTGTCTAGAAGTTTGAAACTTCAAAGATTTAATTCGAAGGGTGTACATAAATTAGGGAATTTTATAAATAGCGTAAAATTTATGCAAATCTTATTAAGGTTAAGATTAATGTAATTACCTAGAAATAAAATTTTTTAGGTCGCACTGTTAAAACAAATAAAGCAAAAAATACTCTCAGTATTCTTGAGAAGAAAAACTAAGAAGCCTTAGCTAGCACTAGTCTATTTAGCCTAGACTTTCCCTTCACTCCATGGAGAATTTCTCATTGTGGATCACCATAATTAGAGGGTAAACACTTTGCTAGCTTGTGGTTTATGAAAACCTATGCTCTCTAGGTGCTTAAAGGTTGGGCAATCAAGGTAATTGAACTTGGTGATTTTTGACATCTAAGGTTTAAAGGTATCGAACTTATCTTTATAAACATCATCACCATATAGAAGGCTTGAGTATTAGATAAAAAGGTGATTGGCTTTAGTGCAAGTGATAGATTGATGGAGTAATTGTATGCCTTGCAAGTCAATTAGTTGATTGTGTAGAGATACATCTTATAGTTAAGCATTTACTATTTATCAAAAGACGTTCTTTATTTCCAAAAAGACATAAATTTTGATTGGTTGAAATAAATAAAAGTGTAAATGTATGCCTTATAAACTAATTGATTGGTTATAAACACTACCAAAGACACTAGTTTTTGTGACGGAAGAAACCGCCATAAAAAGTCCACAATTCATCACAAATAGAAATTAGTAGTAGAAATTATGATGGATATTTTCTCACACTATAAGTCGCCTTACTGATACTTCTGTCACAAATTTTTTCAAATCCGTCACTAAAGAGGAATGGATTGACTGTCACAAATTAGTATAATTTTGACACAATTTTTTATCAATTCAGGCAATTGCTCATCCTTTATTTCGTCATAGATTTAAGAAAATGGTTACTAAATCCATCACAATAATTTGTCACAGTTGTCGTGAAATCTATTTTGTCACTAATTTTGTCATTAGTATTTGACACAATATGATAATGTTGTTACAAATTCAATTACTAGTATTTGTCATAATGTGAAAATATTGCCACTATTTTCTGCCATAAATTTTTGTCACACAAGACAATTGTCACTAATTATGTCACTATTTAGACACCATTGTCACTGAATTTGTTACAATTTATGTTTGTAAATGACTTGATTCCATCATTAATAAAAAATGTTGTCATTCATTTTTAAAGATTTCTATCACTAAAAAATTCTATCACTAATTTAATATATATTGTCATTAATAGAATAATTTGTCACAAATAATTACATCCATCACAATAAATAATACGCAATACTTTTTACAATTCAATTATCAATTTTGGTGACAATAGAACTACCACAACATCATAATGTCATCATCACCTAACATGACACTAATAATAATAATAAATCCATCACCATAGATCATTTTGATGAAATCAATCATAATGTATTCAACAGTATAATACCATAAGTGTAGTTGAGTTCAACTAGATGAACAAAAAATATGTAGAACCTAAATGAGTTAAGATCAATTATAGATAACAAAATATATACATAAATGAGTCTAGTTGAGATTAACTATAAATAACAAAATATGTAACTAAATGAGCCCAGTTGAGATCAACTAGATAACAAAATATATACCTAAATAAGTCCAATTGAGTTCAACTAGATAAAAAAAAATATAACTAAATTAGTCTAGTTTAGTTCAACTAGATAACAAAAAATATATAGAAAAATATAAGAAGTCAAGTTAAGTTCAAATTAACTTACTCCTCGTCGAACATCATCTTTTCCATTAGAACCATCTATTGCATCCTCAACATCATCACTATCATCCATAGGAATTGCCCCCTCGTTGTCATCATCATCATCCCTTGGATTTTCCCCATCATTGCCATCATCGGTTGAATTAACCTTGAAGATGATGGACATGGCACTTGAATGCCCATATGTCTCAAAAGATGTTGAAGACGTGTATCTAGAACTCCATCTAATATTCTAAAACTTGTTTAACAACTTCTTGCATATCTTGAGTTCCAAGTTGGAGAGATGGAGCATCTTTAGAAGATGGTGCAAATTGAGATGATTGCCAAAGATGAGAAGTCCCAAGTATGTGTCTTGGATCCTCCCTTCCAAACCGTATAGTCCATGGCCAACACCTTTGACTATTTCACGCCATGTCTCAATATTAAATTTGAGTTGTGTGCGGCTCTCACCAAACTTTTGGAGTAAAGTGAAAGCATATCTTTCTTGTAACAATTTAAATAAAACAATTATAATTAATTCATCACATTGAATTAACCATACTTAACATAGAAAAAGTACTAAATATCGTAGGCTTTATATCTTCAATTAACATCACTTATGTTCTAATTGAAGCAAAGCAATTTACGTAAAAATAGAAAAAATGAGATAATTATATATGTAGAATAGGTGATGTTTACTCACACAAACAATTTTTAATTTTTTGTCAACAAATTCACCATTTGTTTATTTATGAGTGTGATCAAACACCTTTGCTTGAGTAACTAGATCCCCAAGCTCCTTTTCTTGCATTAAGTAATAAAAGCATTCATAAATTGAAATATAATAATGACAAAGTCCAAAAAACATAATCATAACAAACACATCATTCTATTCCCATGGAGAACAATCAATATTGATCCATTAGCAAGTTTAGAAATGTTACCATCCTTCTCTGTTAGGCGATTATTTTTATCTGACATGGATTTGTTTCCCATTTTTTTCTAATCTAGACATTGCCAATCAACCATGCTCAATTCTCCTCACCAACCAATTCTGGCTGAAATTCTTCTGTTTCAACCACACTAGTGACCTAGGCTTTATCCTTTGTAGTTTTTCACACTTTGTTCATCATACTACTAAATTGTTTGCCACAACATTTAAACCACACATCATATATGGCAGAATTTTATTCTTCAAGCCACTTGTATTTACCTATCATTAAAAGTAAGAAACTTGAAAATAATTTAACAAGTCATTGTAATAAAACAACTCAAACAATTGTAGAAATAATACCTAAAAGGTATTCCAATATGAAGTTTTATTAGCAACAAGTACCTTCATCCATGTTGCCCAAGGTCCACTATAAAAGGCCTTAAAATGGTAGTTATTGCAGAAGGAACTTTTTCTTTTTCATCCTCAAATTGAAAAGAACTATCATATAAATAAAAAACATATTCAATATTTCAATAGTGTAATCATCAAAACTCATTCACAAGATCATGTCCAACAATAATACAAGAAATATTAAGTTTAAATCATAACTAGATCCAAGAATATAAATGATTTTCCTATCAACTAAGTTAGGAGTTTGAAATCCTTAATTTAGTCCTTTTCCCGTTGTTCTCTTTCTATTAGGATTGATGACATGGTCTTATCGATTGCCATCCTCTGCCTCTTGAAATCCAATAACCCTTATTAGGAGATTCAAT